CAGTATCGTCTTATAGTCAGAAAAATACGGTAATTAGGGGTGTTCTTCCTTCCTAAATATCCAAGCAGGTGTTTGCTTTGTTCTCCAAAATTGCTGACCTATATTGAGACTAGGCATTGTGCCAAGATCTGCCTCTCATCATCTGAATCTGCTTGGTCTTCCTGACCTGACAACTCATTGGCTCAGGCCCTTCAGCCTCTGATTCAGAGGAATCAGAGGAGACCGTAACAATTTCTCTAAGCTATCAATATTTTGAATTTTATTTGCCTTCTATGATGTTAGCAATCTCAGTCAGTGCTACATGATCTACAAATGTGATAAACATTCCTTCTGTCTCTTCATTTATGTTATTAACAAACATATTCAAGAGTTAAGGTTAGAGTTAGAGTTAGCACCATCCAATGCTTCAGTTCCTGAGGAGCCACTGGTGACCACTTCTGAGTATAATTTTCAAGCCAGCTATGTGCTACCATTATCATGCAATCCAGCCCATACTTTATTAGTTTGCTAATCAAAGCGTCATGGTGTGTTTTCCCACATGATTTGTTGAAATTTAACATTAGTCTGATAAGCTTTGTTATGGAAGCATCCTGTAGTTACCACATAGTTTTTACATTATCAATATCTTTATGATCCATACTCCCAGGTACTAATGTCAGACTGATATGATCTGCTCTAGAATTTTCCCAGTTATTGATATCAGAGTGACTGGAGTGTTTTTGAGCACACCTATGTTTTCTAAAGCTGTTCTGGTTTCAGGATATAAACTGTAAATGTAAATACTAGTATATTCATTTTGTTGGCTTGTTCAGCTTTGGAATATATATTCAAGGATCAGTACAACATGCTAATGTCTCCTGTTGATGTTGAGTTTAGGATGCATATAGAAATGCAAATATTACTATTGGGTTTGGTGGTTTGTTGAGCTTTGGTATATGTGCGCAATCACTTCATGCATTCTATTGTATCTTGTTGATGTTCAGCTTTTAGTGTGCATTTAATACAAACTTCATTGGTAGTTTGAGCTCTGTAATGTTTCCATGGGCATTGTAGTGGTTCTTGTTTTAAAATTAAAATTATTTTCATGCAAATATTAAGCAACATTTTTTTTAGTAGCCATCCCCAAATCAAACAGGCACAAAAGTTCAGCAACAAATTGTTATGCATACCAATTAAGAAGAAAAAAAGGATAAGGAAAAGCAGTATGCTAAAACTGTTGCTAGCTTCCATTGTTTGCCATGAATATTTTTTAAATGTCATTTTATTCCTTTGGGCAATGTTTCCTTAGGTTGTATGGTAGCTAGCTATCAGCGTGGACTATCACCTTATCTACTTTTATGGTCTTGGGGTGAAAACAAGGAAATGAAACTCTTGTTCCTAAATTCCTATCTTGTTCTAAACAGTATTCTAAAATACTATCCAATTCTGCAGGATAGTAATGATAGGAACTCTTGAAACAATGCATCCAGAACAGTTTGTTTGGAAAGTTCCAGTGATATGGTCTGAGTGGAGCTCTTTTGTCCCTCAAAGCAAAAGATATTTTCTGTTATAAATGAATCCTTATTGGTCATCTGTGCCAAAAGTCAGAAAGGCTGGTCATTTATCTTTCTTATCCCATCTATTCAGAAAGCTGTATTCACAAACATCAACAGAGGTCCCCTCCTGCTTTCTCTGGGCCTTTCCAGGAATGAACTCTCTACATGAAAAGTGGGGAGAACACATGAGAATTCCAGGTCTACACAGTTCTATTCTCATTAGTGTCCCTCTACTCTTCAGGGCAGAAGATAACTATATATTGTGGAGATTCTTCATTATATATAAAGTCTCCCCATTATCAAAACTAAAACAGTAAAAAGGTACTACAAAGACACTATCCATCCTCAATGCTCTCAACTAAAGGAAAGAAAAATGTTCCTTATCAAGCCGTCTTGATGCACTGATTTGCTTCTGAGTAGCGATGCATAGGGCTAGATGGTAGCAGTGATAGTGTTACTCCAGTAAAACTCATTAATTTGGAAGCTGGGGATGATAGCGATATTACATATTAGTAAAAGTTCCAGTTTTGTGACAGAAAGGTGTTGATGGTCTGTATAACTCTAGCAGTCAAATGGGTACATCTGGGCTGAATTTGTATCCAGTGAGTAAAATCTATTCAATGACAAGGACCAGAAGACTCAAAACAGAACCTGAAAACTTATCAAGCATTTCCTAATGAACAAAGCTCAATCCAGAAACAATACTGCGGAAAACAGTAAAACATCATCCCATACAATATAACATAAGAAGGGGCAGAATATAGTCATGGTGATACATAAGCCATAAGAAGGGCGTTTAAAAAAGAATGAATGAAGGCTATTTGAATAAAAATAAAAAAACATGCTTTTTTGTCATGCTCTATTTTGTTTTTTCTTTAATAACATTTCTTTTAGTTCATATAGTTAAAGCATCCTAAACCATCTTAGATTTTTACTCACCCTAGCATAACCAGCATAAAGAGGAAAAAAAGCAAAACATGTCAACACTGGAAAGATTGAGATAAAAGAGATAGTTAAGTGGAGAAATGTTACCTTTATAGTAGATGTACACCATAAAATTGGCTTCCCAAACAAATCAATCAGAAAAGGGACATACATTCATGCGTTAGTTCAACAAAGATGTCAACTTCATATAATAATAGCATCTGATCAAAACACATAAAGCTTCAAGCTGCTCACTGATCTGTCCACAGAATAAAAATGAGGACAAGGAGACACTTACTTTGAAGAATGTTCATAATCAGGATTGCCCAATATTGGGAACAGATGGCCTTAGGAGCTGATGGGGAGGCAGGAAATGTCTTTTGGTTTCTAAGAGCTTTCCAGGGATCATTGGAGTGATCTCATCATCAATCAATGGAAGAATGTTTAATTTAATAGCAAAAATAACATGAACAATAATACAAACTTTGGTTACAAGTAACAAAGTAGCCTGGGATGAACTAACAATATTTATGGAAGATTATTGTTCTTTAAAACCTTTGCATAAGAATGGAAAACTAAAAGATAAATCCATGTTTAAAAACTGGAATTAACTCTGAACAATCAAAATTTGAAAATGAATAAATACAAGTTTCTCACAAGATACAACAGGAACAAGGACCTAAAATCACAAATACAGATAAAATACATTCTCATAGAATGTTAATAAATACCAGCTAATTGCTCAACAGAAACTTCTGTTTTCATATAGTTTAAGATATTTTTTCCAAATTAACCTCTGTGGCCAATCTAAGGTGTTCTGGAGCTTCATGTTATTTACACAAGGGAGTGTGCATGTTTGAATGCATGCATCTTTGAGTACACCTCTAACATACTTTGCTTTAAAAAGTTAATTTCTAACATATTTATTTTCCAATACAATTAAAATGTTAGATTTGAAGAGTTGGTAAAAGCAAATGAACACTTTTAAGATCTTGCTTCTTCCATAGGTTCCAGCTCTAAAATTAAACCTTGTACTTCTGCATTAGCTTAAATATATCATTATATAGCTGTTGTGGAATATCTAGGCCCAAGATAGGATCCATATGTTGCCATTCAGGAATATTCTTATAGAAAACCAAATGAGTGATTCGAGAAATCAGTAATTCAACATCTTTTTTGGTTGCAACAATGTCCATTCCTCCACTCCACACAGCTACTGGTATTGTAACGTCTTCAATTTTATAAAACGGAGGTGTTGTCTGTTGATGAAAAGAGGACAAAAAAGAGCAATGGGTTTCATGGATCAATTGCATTTTCAGGTATTCCCTGCTTCAGAAATAGCAGGCCCTAGGAACAAATAGTTTCACCCTATCCTCAGCACCAAAAGACAGTAGGCAAAACTGCCTTCTAAGCAAGAACCCTGTATTACGAAAGGCAGCCTGATGCAGTGCAAGTTCTGTGGGGACTTTACACTATACAGTAGACTATTAAACATGCTTATGTGTTCCAGCATTCCAAAAACAATAAAACTATAATTAATATTATTATGGGATTTGGATAATGACTCCAGAGATGTGCCACCTTTCACTCTGAACAGGGTACACTCCCTCAGAGAGAACCGGCTCACAATTTGGAGGCTCCCAGACTTGCAGCTCCTGCCAAGATCAGGAGATCTTTGCACAATTATATCTTGTGTGTCACTTGCAACCTGTTCTGGACCAGGAGGCATTACATGCTATCACTCATGCCCTTGCCACCTCACAGTTTGACTATTGCAACCTGCTCTATGTGGAGCTACCCTTGTAAACTATCAGGAAATTTCATCATGCAGCAGCCCAAGTAGAGTTGGCCTCTTGAGATTTGCCCATGTTACATGTCAACTGTAGGAAGTACACCGACTGCCAGTCAGCTTCTGGGTGCGATTCAAGGTACTGGTCATCACCTTTAAAGTCCTAGGGCCCGGCTGTCTCCAATATTGCCTGCTTTGAAGTGAAACTGCTGGTCCTGTAAGATCTGTGAAAGAGGTCCTCTTGAGGGCCCCATTTCCAAGGAATTTCATCTATGGGCCTCCAGAGCAGGGCCACCTCAGTGACGGTGCCTCTTCTTGCCTTCACATATAAGAATCACCACCTCCCTACTGTGTTTCCAAAAGCAGATGAAAACATGTCTCTGGGAGGTAGCATTTGGTGGTGGTTTTTTTTAATGATCTCCCTCTGCTGTTAGTGCTACTGTACTGTAATATACAGGGTGTACCAAAAGTCAGGCCACATTCCCAGAATAAGGCCCCATGCACAATTCATTATATAAATTACATTAAATGTTTGAATTAAGATTTTCTTCAAAACTTTTCCTTACTCGTTTGATGCATGACCTTTGAACATTCCTAAGTACAGTAACATTTTCTCTGACAAAAATAATAATAAAACATATTGTGATTGGTACACCCTGTATGTTAACTGTCACTGTTCTGATGTTTTTAACTTTTATTTCTGTTGGATCCTGCTCAGAGCTATTTGAGTGGCACAGAAATATCAATAACAAATGGATAAATAAATAATAACATTTAATTTTTTGAAAACTATCCAGTCAAACTATTTAACTAATATTTGAGACTAATGGTCTTAAGGTCAATCAAATAATAAGCAGTTGATAATTTATGGAAGATATAGCACCAAGAATATTTAAAGGTAATGTGCAAAATAATCCAGTTGGAAGTTGTAACAAGCTGAGCATTTAGCGTCCAGTTCAGTGAGAGAAAGGCAAGGAGTTCAGAAAACAGCAAAGCTGTTTCAGGGCAAGAAAAGCAGGAGATTTTAAAAGTAGCACGTTCAGTTCGATGGGAGGTTAAACGGGCCGGAGTCCAAAATGCACAGGTGGGTTGCAATTAGTACGAGTTCAAATAGTGCGACATTCTATTTGGTGCGATTTATAAATTGATACCAGGTCATGTTTAATGCGAGCCAAAATTCAGTTAGTGCGAGGCTAGTGTGCACATAGTTGAGGCTAGTGCATGCACACTTGTGGTTTTAGACACTAACTGCCGTGTGTGCAAAATAGAGAAAAGGAAGGTGCTGTTTGAGGAAAGCTCAAAAAAAGAAGAGGCTCATTTTGAAGAACTACAGCAGAATACAGGAGATAACAGATACTCTTTGGGTATGGGTTTATTCTCTTTTACTGTTATACAGTATTTCATTAATAAATATATAAAAACTATGCTTAAAAATGTTAATTTCCTATTTCCACCGAGCTGGAACCAAATACCCCATTTTCCATAGAAATATCACTTTGAATAGTGCAAATTCAAATAATGCGACCATTTTGTGGGATTCATTAACTGCACTAATTGAGAATTCCGTGTACCTGTAATACACGGAATTCAAAGGAAGTTTGCGGCTTGGGGTTCAGGGAGCAGCAGGGAAAATGGGGAAGTGGTTTCCTGTCATAGCAAAGAGAGGGATTTATACCACCTACCCACACCACACAAAGGGGTGCCACCTTTTCGAGAGCTACCACTTTACTTGATAATCAAGAAAGAAAGACAATGTTTCCAGCACTTGGAAGGGAAGGAAGTTCCTGTCAACAACGGCTTTGCCAGTGCTCTTAGGCTGAGTTTGTTTAGTGTGCTTCTTGGCTTCCTGAAACCATTGTTCTCCTGGAGCTGGGGACTCAGATCAGGTCAAAGGGTGGATGTTGGCATACTTCTCCTTTGTCTCATCCTGGATCCAGCTGATCAGATGAAACCAGCTTCCTTTTCCAAGTTGTGAAATGCAACTCAGCAGAGCTGCTTTAGGTTATTTATTTATTTATTTATTTATTTATTTATTGTTAAACTTGTATGCCGCCCATCTCCCC